TTACAAGTTGTCACGAGTCGTGAAATTTCACGGATTTAACGAGTCGTACGAATTTCGTGAAGTTCGCCACTTGGCTGGGTGCACTCTTAAGTCCTTCACGACTCGTGAAACATTCATTACAAGTTGTAACGAGTCGTGATATTTCACGGATTTAACGAGTCGTACGAATTTCGTGACGTTCACCACTTGGCTCCTGCACTCTTAAGTCCTTCACCACTCGTGAAACATTCCTTACAAGTTGCAACGAGTCGTGAAATTTCACGGATTTAACGAGTCGTACGAATTTCGTGAAGTTCTCCACTTGGCTGGGTGCACTCTTAAGTCCTTCACGACTCGTAAAACATTCATTACAAGTTGTAACGAGTCGTGATATTTCACGGATTTAACGAGTCGTACGAATTTCGTGAAGTTCACCACTTGGCTCCTGCACTCTTAAGTCCTTCACCACTCGTGAAACATTCCTTACAAGTTGTCACGAGTCGTGAAATTTCACGGATATAACGAGTCGTACGAATTTCGTGAAGTTCACCACTTGGCTCCTGCACTCTTAAGTCCTTCACCACTCGTGAAACATTCCTTACAAGTTGTAACGAGTCGTGATATTTCACGGATTTAACGAGTCGTACGAATTTCGTGAAGTTCACCACTTGGCTGGGTGCACTCTTAAGTCCTTCACGACTCGTGAAACATTCATTACAAGTTGTAACGAGTCGTGAAATTTCACGGATTTAACGAGTCGTACGAATTTCGTCTGGTTCACCACTTGGCTGGGTGTACTCTTAAGTCCTTCACGACTCGTGAAATATTCCTTACAAGTTGTCACGAGTCGTGAAATTTCACGGATTTAACGAGTCGTACGAATTTCGTGAAGTTCACCACTTGGCTGGGTGCACTCTTAAGTCCTTCACGACTCGTGAAATATTCCTTACAAGTTGTAACGAGTCGTGAAATGCTGCTGTATTGGACAACCATCTAAAATTTACAATCAGCGGGAGTCCACATTGCTGATTTTAATTAGTTGCGCAAGGGCAAAGGTTGATTCAAGTGCGATGATTTCATGTTGTATTTCATGATATAAAGTTCTAATCTCATGTTTTATTCGAAACAATAAACAAGACCCATGTTTGTGTACTGATAAACTGTTTTAGCCCGTTTTAGTATCTTCTGTACAACGCGCGTACGAATATACTGAATGCTGGTTGATATTTTGTTATCATTGGGTTGCCATGGCATTGGGTATCCCGCTGAGGCAAGTACTTCGGCTCAAGCGTCAGAAATGGCGATGCAAATAAAAATATTTCGTCTCAAATTGTTGATTTTCAACCGCTTCGCCAGGGCATTTTTTTCAGTCGATTACTAATTCTAATAAGTTATATAGAGATATAATATGTTCAACTTTGCCGTTTAGTCTTGTATTCTTGCATATGCTCTTCGTGAATTGTTTTAAATCGAGTTAATTCAGTAAATGACGGCTCGAGCGAGATTCTTCGCCATTTATTGTCACGACAAGTGATAGAATTCCAACTTTCCAACACAGGACATATTAAAACAACTTTATATCTCGCTACTTGTATTGTCATATTACTGCAGGAGAACGTTTATCCCACCCGGCAGAGGACATTTGTATTAATATCGGTATATATTGCGGCATAACAAGTCATGTGACTTCCAGTTCAAAAGTTGGCAGCACTAAAAACAATTTAAAAAGTTATACCAAGAACATTAACTTATAAAACATCCACCCAAGTGTAATCGGAATTTTTAAATAATTTTTCTTTTATTTAATTTTATCTAATTTTATTGATGTAATTGGACCCAGGCATTAATACACCTGAGGTCGTGTAGATCCAGAAGGAACACTTATACGAGCGCTAGAATTAAACGTTATTAACCGTAGACGTTATTCAGTACCATCTCCTTTGGCTCTCTGGCATATTGATGGCAACCACAAATTAATAAGGTAAATATTGATTTTCATGCACACAAATTATAAATTATATATACATATACATCCCAGCTAGCACAGTACGTAAACACAACGTTTTAAATTGGTTGTGGTTTGGTTAGGTCCGACCTAACCTTCAAATAACGTAATTAGAACGTTGTTCGTACACGACACTAATTAGAATGAATATCCTGACGTGGAAAGTACGTTCTCATAACGTTATAGATTTACGGTTTCTACCAACGTCGAGAAAACGTTTTAAACACGTATGGGTCCACAGGTCGGTACGTGGCAACTACATTCTTATTGCGTTACAGATTTACGTTTTCCGCCAACGTCGAGAAAACGTTTTAAACACGTACGGGTCCACAGGTCGGTACGTGGCAACTACGTTCTTATTGCGTTATAGATTTACGTTTTCCACCAACGTCGAGAAAACGTTTTGAACACGTAGCCAAACGTTTTGAAAAGGATTACACTTTCAGAGCAAGGTACACGTGTAAGTACCGCTGTTCATATATCGACTGAGCCAAATGTGCGTAATTTATTCTATTCTCAAATTGCAATGTATTTTATTTGCGCACGTTGTTCCCTGAGCGTATAGTTTTTTGAGGCAAAGTTTACGGAAGAAATTATTCGATTTTCATATACACGTTCGAAGGTATGTATATGTTCAACAGTAAATATATCTCTTCTAATGTAATGTATCTCTTCTTCGTGTAATGTCCATTCAGGGTTTTCTAACATTTGATTATTTCCTCTCATGTAGTCCTTCCGACAGTTTGTTGTTGACCTTGCTTAAACCAGTAAATTGTGTCATACGAACGCGGAACGCCAGGACTTTATATATAGTCCGAATGTAAGTATATATTTTGCTGTTTGGTTATATGTTTTTACTGTATTGCTGTCTTGTCAGTTGACCTTTGATATTTTCCTTTAATATTAATAAACGAGAAATTTTAAACACAATAGTAGAGCTTTCATGGCATGGACACAGCATGATGCATTTTTTCGAAAGGGCATGTCTTAAAATCCGGTAAATATTGTAGCTCATACATTGCGTTACAGTAACTGAATGGATTCTTAATCTGAGTATTATCATATTTTAACTGCATACATTCAATATGTTTGCTGCATATTATTATAGACTCGTTTTTGATCATAAACATTCCTGTAACATGAGAACTATAGGGAAATTTGAATATATAAGGCGCTTAGTTTGAATAATTTTGTGTTTGTTTTTTCCAAGATCCTAAATAACGTACATGGCTGTTGTTATACAATCATTTATGAATTCGTTTCATTGAATCTTTTCCAACACAAAAACCAATAGCGTTTGGAAAATTTGCGCGACTTTTATATTTCAGAGCACGATTGAATCAGTTTAGTCAGTGAAGTGTCTGTTTCTAACATGCAAATTGTTTGCACTTTTAGAAAACGGCTGATGCGTCTGCAGGTAAAGATGGCCAAAATAAAGAGCGACTCGAGTCTGTTGCACAAAAGTATAACATTCTTTTATGCCGGTTTTCCACTAGCGAATTTTTTCGTGCGAAGCGACATTTATATATATGGTTAAAATTTAGAAGACTTTATCATAAGGTGATAAGTAATTTTACATAAGTTCCAGCTGACTGAGCAGAGAGCTCATAAGCCAAAAGAATATATAGTCTGTTCGCGCAACAAAATTCACTTTAGCTTCTATAAGACTATAATCTCTAGACTATATTACCTTTGTCCAAATATCGTTGTATTCTACCATCATAAATATCTATATCTTGGACTATTTTCTCCTTTATCTTTTATCTTTACGTACATAATATTATATTATATTATATTATATTATGATTTATGTATTTATATGTATGTATTTTTATGTATGAACGTTTCGCTGCAATAAATATATGTCGTTATATAAAAGTTGTATGAGTGCATTAATTGCTTGAATACATTCACGTTTCATGAACGTTGTGAAAACGTTCTTTCTTACGTTGTCTTACTACGTTGTGACAACGTCCTGTGGAGTCGACAAAATCACATTGAGCGCACGTAAACTCACAACGTTTTTTTCACGTATAAGCGAAACGTTCTAAAAACGTTGTGAGGAAGTTCTTTTTACGCTACTGACAACATTGTAACAACATCCTCTGGAGTCGACAAAAACACGTCCAGCGCACGTAAAGAGACAACGTTTTACCAACGTAAGCTGCACGTTCTAAAAACGTTGTGAGAACGTTTTTGTGCTAGCTGGGATTATACATATATATACATATACATTATACATATACATTATACATATACATTACATATACATTACATATACATTACATATACATATACATATACATATATATATATATATATATACATATATATATATATATACATATATATATATATATACATATATATATATATACATATATATATATATATATATATACATTTGTCACATCCACCTTGCAACTATGCATGGGTTTAATAGAGTGAGGGGCTAGGTTTAGGGATTGCATCCATGTCAGGTAACGTATATGGTACAGTTATAGAATACCAAGCCATTTAAACATGCATGATTATGTGGCTACATTGGTCAGCCTGGTTTAAATAGGGAAAGGTTCTGATGAGGATCATACATTAAAAATTTACCTTCAGTGGTTTAAATTAACTATTAGAACATTGTCCAAGACTGTACATGGACGTTTTGGATTGGCCTGGTATTCTATAATAGCCCTGCAGTAAATTGCAGGATTACGCTAAGACTCAAGCTTAAAGATTCTACATAGAAATTCAGGCCTAATTATCCCATATTATTACTTGTAGGTGGCGGTTTGTGATTCCGGTGGAATTGATGGGTTCTCTCGTATGATAGTTTTTCTGGCTTGTTCTACAAACAACAAGGCTGCCACTGTGTTAAGGCATTTTGAGCGTGGTGTTGCTGAATTTGGTTTGCCCTCACATGTACGGTCAGACAAAGGAGGTGAAAATGTTGATGTCGCATGGTATATGTTGACACATCCCCAACATGGACCAAATAGGGGCAGTCATATCACAGGACGCAGCGTTCACAATCAACGAATTGAGAGGTTGTGGAGAGATGTGTTTTACCATCTTTTTTATTACATGGAAGAGTCCGGTATTTTGGATGCCTCCAATGAATATCACATGGCTGCTCTCCATTTTGTTTATGAGAAGAGAATCAACCAAAGTTTGGAAACATTTAAAGCTGGTTATAACAGAGCACCTATGCCAAGTGAAATGTTGCCAAGGCCTACTGGTAATTAAGTTCTAAGTAGTGTACATAAATTGCATTTCGCGTAGCTGCTGCATGGTTGAAGAAACAAACCAAAGTTTACAATTTTCCCATGGTTATTACCTGCCTGTTACAAGGTAGTAATCATGGAAATTTTTTTTGGAAGACAAGATTTACAACATATTCATGTGGGATGCAAGAACTAAACAATTAAACATAAAAGGGCAATCACTAAAAAATTCGAATTAGATAAACGTGACATGAAAATTTTATCATCCTTTTACAACTGTACCCCCTCACCATAGTATTAAGGTGGCTCCCTACAGTTTACTAGAAAATGGAAGATCTCTGATTTGGCCCCAATTTTTCAACAACTCCTATATGTTAAAGGACAAAGAAAGTCCGATTAGAAAAATAATAATAACTACAGAGTTGGATTCTTTTCAAGAAAAAAAGGAATCGCAACTGCAGTCGCTATGGCAACAATGACACTTCAATATGGCCGATATTTTGGGTTTAAAGTTATATAACTTGATAATATGGTTGGTTACCCCCATCTTTTATTGCATAAAAAGAATTTATTTAGTATTTTGAATTATGATTTTTGTGGGTAGCCCGTTCGCGGGCTACCCATTATCATATACGAAAAAAAGCGATGAGCGGTGATAAGCGCGCGATGTTTGTCCGCCGAGTTTGTTTATCTACGAAAGACACTGGGCGCGAGGTCGATAAGCCGAAGTAAGTATGACAGTTTGGCGATCGAAAGTTTGGTATTTCGTCGGAAACTCAGAAACCAAAACAACTTTGCTGTGGGAAGTGACCTGTGACCAACTCATTAAAAGTCTCAAAATATACTCTAAATTTTGCGATAGATGAGTCGAAGAAGCGGTAAGTTACTATTTTTTGTTCATTTTTTTAATATTATTTACAACGCTGTTTTCCTTTTCGCCCTTTTGTTGGCTTTTGATCTGCTCGATTGGTGTTGTAAATCATATATTGTGTTGGGTCACAACAGCGAGGTTTTACACAGGAAATCCTGTTGTGGCGTTGTTTATATTTAGGATGTAAATAGAAAGTCAACCAAATGGCAAATGTCGGTGTGCTTTGTGGTTTGGTCGAGTAGTATGATTTGAATCTCCATCATTATTTGTTTGAGTGATTAATACTTCTATTTGAAATGTGGAATCCAAGAGGCAAGAGTTCAGTAGTTGTTCACAGTGTAATCTGTCATAATGCTATGGACAGTAAAATTTTATGTGGTCCTAACAAAGCCTAATACATAAATTTTATCTGTTCTTCGTTACCGTAAATATTTGAATAATATATTAGTAAATTGCACTAGCTCCTTTAATAACGAAAATGACATTTAAAATTCTTGTGAACTAAACCATTAAAGGTCAAGGAATCTATCACAAAGATAAATACTTATCATGTAGTATTTGAGTATTACCATATATGTACAGAATAGGGACCCAAATTTCAAAATCGTCATGGGTACCTCTTTTTTGTATATGGTATAAGTAAGAGTTATAAACAGAGAATGTGGCATATTACAGTACATTTACCCAAACACAACAAATTTAACAATAAGTAAGAGTTGTAAACCTAGAATGCGGCATATAAGAAGTCATACATTTACCCCAAACACAACACATTTAACAAGTACCTGGGATATAAGTCATATAAATACCCGATAACACAGGATATCGGATATAAGTCATATATTTACCTGAGGGGCTGCAGGGCAAATATATGACTTATATCCCAAGTTTGAGGTTTATAACTGACTTATTTTCTAGTTGAGGAGGTTTTCAAACAAAATTTCATCAATTTCAAAGACTGTCCAAAAATATTTTTCGAGTTTTGTCAACAAGTTTAATCTAATTATTTATTCATGGGTTCTAACCTGAATACATCCCGCAGTACATGAAAGAAAACTGACTCAACTAGAAAATAAGTTATGTAGGCATATACTAGAAAATATATATATATAATTATTCTGGTCCTACCCGTCCATATGGTGGAACAGCTGTTTATAGTCGAACTCCATTGGCAGATGGATATCTCTGTGCTCAGAATATAAATGGAATTGAATTAACTGTGATTAAAACACATGATCATCCAGATCTAACTATATTTGGATTATATCGTTCACCTAGCATTACTTTATCACAGCTACTTGCTGCACTTCGTACCATTCATGAAGAAAATGTGTCTGCTCAAAGTATTGTTACTGGAGACTTTAATGTAAATTGGATGGTGGAATATGAGCGACAGTCCCTGTATAACTTCATGGTCTTAGAAAATA